TGGCTCATTTTAATCCAGCGGCTCGAACACAGCTTCCCACCGATGCAAGCGGCCATGGCATTGGTGCTATACTCGCTCAGAAACAGAATGGCACCAACCGTGTGATAGCCTATGCTAGCCACCTTTTGTCGCAAGCGGAACAAAATTATTCCATCACTGAGCGGGAATGCTTAGCCCTTGTTTGGGCTATTGCGAAATTCCGTCCGTACTTATACGGACGTCCATTCGCAGTCATCACGGACCATCATGCGCTTTGCTGGCTGTCGACGCTTAAGGACCCTACAGGAAGGCTCGGTCGATGGGCACTTCGATTATAGGAGTACACGTTCTCAGTTGTTTACAAATCTGGAAAGCTGCACAGCGATGCTGACTGCTTATCCCGGCACCCTGTTGATCCACCTAGCTCCACTGATTTGGAATCCGATGCCTGCGTTTTAGCCATCACTGACTTTCTGAACGTGGCTGACGAACAGCGCCGAGATCCATCGCTGCTCACCATCATTGACCGCCTTGAATCGCGTTATGCTGACCCTTCTCTTAGCAGATACCTGCTTCAAGACAACGTTTTGTATCGCCGCAACTTACACCCCGACGGCGTGGAACTTTTACTCGTCGTACCGCATCACCTGCGAAAGGATGTTCTGCGACAATTCCACGACGCTCCAACTTCTGGACATCTAGGAGTCTCCAGAACTTACGACCGCATTCGACGACGAGTATTCTGGAAGGGTCTGTACCGCTCTGTTCGCCGTTACGTCACATCTTGTGACCTCTGCCAGCGCCGAAAGAAGCCTACGACTCCCCCTGCCGGTCTACTTCAACCTATTGAAGTTCCAGCCGAGCCATTTTATCGAGTGGGGTTGGACTTGCTAGGCCCCTTTCCTACTTCTACAACTGGAAACAAATGGATTGCAGTGGCCACAGACCATGCCACTCGGTATGCAATCACTCGAGCGCTACCAACCAGCTGCGCAACCGACGTTGCCGACTTCCTGCTGTACGACATTATTCTTCAGCATGGCGCTCCGACTCACCTGCTCACAGACCGTGGTCGCTACTTTCTATCTCGTGTGGTTGATGATCTACTCCGATCTTGTGCTACCCGTCACAACTTCACCACATCTTACCACCCTCAGACTAACGGCCTTACGGAGCGACTAAACCGCACATTGACGGACATGCTTTCCATGTACGTATCTACCGACCACACTGATTGGGACATAGCTCTTCCGTTCGTGACCTTCCCCTATAACTCGACGCGTCATGAAACAGCGGGCTACTCCCCTTTTTATCTACTCTACGGACGTCATCCCTTACTGCCCTTCGACACACTGCTTTCATCAGACCACCCATCCTCCACCTCGTACGCTCAGGATGCAATCACCCGTGCCCTCACGGCACGTGCGGTAGCGCGCGCTCAGTTATCGTCGTCGCAGACAGCACAGAAGTTTCTTTATGACCGTCGACATAGAGATGTCGTTTTTTCTGCGGGTTCTCTTGTTCTCCTGTGGCTCCCATCTTGACGTGTTTGCCTCTGCGAGAAACTACTATCGCGATACGCTGGGCCCTACTGAGCCATTCGTCAGGTCACACCTGTGACCTACGAGATTGCCGCTACCACAAACTCATCAGCTGCTGCACCCAGAACGGAAGTAGTCCATGTTTCTCGTCTCAAGCCCTACAACGCCGACTCGCTCATTTAACAGGCACCGAGACTGTGCCTTACGGGCCGGGGTGATGATAGGTGTATGGAACTGTCGCCCCGACACAGCTGAATTGGCACCCAAATGAAGAAGAGGACAACGTGGTTGTAGTGGGTTGGACTCTCAAGCTACTCCCGTTGGCCTGCTTGACTGTGCGCTCTCTAAGCCGTTAGCAAGACCAGCTCTGGGTGAATAAATCTTCCCCGTAACAATATTTACGGAAATAAAGGTTCATATACCCAAGATGACAATAGAAAGTAAACCAAAAAAGTGATTTTTTTAAAGAAAACCGCGACTTTTCGACCCGCATCTCCCCTTAATTCCAACTATTTTACCGTCCCCTACGAGTTTGAATGAACGAGCTTTTACTAAAATTAGACTTATCTGACCCCGTGAGCTTTACATCATCGTCTCAGCAACACAGCACTTAAAACATGCTAATTAATGTGCACATTATATATATATGAGTTTAACAATTAGATGTGGACCTTAAACAGAGCCACTCGAAAACGTTAATTTCTACCATCAAACAGCACATCACTCCCATCCCTATCTATTCTAATACAATAGAAATGTACACAACCGTTAAAAGCATCTCCTGGTGCTTATAGTTTTTTTTTATGCGGGGGGGGGGGGGGGTCCAAATGAATTTTCTTGATTTCATATCCACTGATAGTTCCTTTTCTGGTCCTTTGATGCCATGTTCTTCCAACTGTAGATGCTAATTATTTGGATCTTCACTGTAATAGGCATTACTCCACTTGCTGTTACCTTTCTTGAAAAGCAAACACCACGTCAAACACCACATGTGCTCGAATATGTGAATCTTGGACTCCTCCATTTGCTTAAGTGGGTACGATAACATAGATAGACCAAAAAAGTGATTTCTTTATTTCATTACTAAAACATAATACACACCCTAAGGAGTGAAATCATGCATTGAGAAGTGTGTAGAAGTCATCTACGGCCATTAAGATTGGCAGCAAAAACTTCACTTCCTAACAAGCGCACAGCCTTTTTTTTTTGTCATTCTTTCTGCATGTATACATTTCCTGTAATTACTATGGCTAGATAAGTTGACTATATTAACTTCCTACCATTTTCATATTTGCAGATTGCAAATTTTCTGAATAAATGCTTTTTTGGCTAATTATTGCTGTGCATTGTGAGCATGTTATGCACATGTTTTTCAACACAAAATCACGTTTTTCTTAATTAAGATTATTTTTCTGAAAATTTTGCAAACTTGATGTACCAGTTCTGGAAAACTACCCAACTGATCGTGGCTCAATTTTGCCCATATTACAGCAGAGTCTCTTTCAAATAGTCTGAACCTAACACTTTGAAAAACTATTTAATATATAATTAGGAAAAAGAAGATAAAATTGGCAAGTCCCCCTTACAGCACTGACAAGTGAGGACTTTTTTTTTGTGTGTGTGTGTGTAATAAATGTAACAGCCCCCTTTTAAGGTTCAGATTAATATCAACATAATGTTGAATAAGCATGTCGAATTTCACGGCCATGCTGTTTCTGGTTTTTGAAAAAAGGTACATTTAATTTTCTGCCCCAGGCTGAAATGTGTGGTACTCAAACTATGCACAGATTTCATAGCAAAATATGATGCAGTTCCTGAGACATAAAGCTGGAACCTGGACAATCTGTTTACCCCACCATACCTCCTTGACACAATTAGTTGGAGGGATAATGGCAGCGCTACCCACAGTCCAAGTAACTATAAATTCCAGCTTATAAATGCCAGCTTAAAAAATGATCGAACAACAATCAAAGCTTTACTGAACTTCTTAGCTTTTTGTTTTTTGGGCAGCCCGACGGCAGCCCAAGACTCCTTTCGGACAGGAAATTACGCCAACCATGCGTCTGCCCCGCAGCATCATCATCGTCGTCCCGCTAGCGCAGCCGCATTTGCTGTGTCGTCTGCTACGTCGACGGCTTGTAAACACGGAGGCTTTGGCGGACGAGACTGTTGCGATGCTGCATGCTTACGACGCGATTGAAAAGGATTGTGGAGAGCATCACACCATCAGTCAGTTGTTGGCCCGGGTAATGAGGCAGGGACGTCACCATGTTTTCTATACGTCGAGTGGGTTGTGCCAGTGTGTGTAGACCTGGAGTTCAGAAAAATGTTTTGACTGTCTCAAAGCACATCTGTGGATCTTGCAGAAGAAAGTAGAGAAGTATGCCTTTTATTCGCAATGGTGTCATTGGGCAAATGAAAGTGTCAGCTGAGAAGGCCATGCTCATTGAACTGGGCTGTCTCGGCACTCAAACTGGTACAATGCATGGAATTGTGGACAAACTCGACGTGAGTGGACCTGAATGTGCACGTCATAATGCATCATGCTCTTGGCTATCAGTGCGAGAGAGATCATGTGACCGGACAGCAACTACGTGCTACGAAACAGGCATGCACTTCATGCACTGTATCAACACCAAGACGGTGACGGTCGTCAACGTCCTCAGGGACGTTGACGGCTATCACAATCACATACATTGACCATCAGAATTGAGGGAGAGCTACAACAAAGGCAAGCTTCATCGCAGTGGGAGGGCAAGAATTAAATGTAGATAACACTAAAATTACTCGCACAACAATAAAACGTCATGCCTTCGTTCACATACAAGAGGCTACCATCGGGCAGAGCAAAGCATCTGTTCTTACAAAGAGGGCACACTTAGATCTGCATCTCATTAAAGAAATATATTTTGTGGCACCAGGATACCATGCTAAACATAATAAGCCTACAACTGAAATGCCCGTCTAACAAAAGTGAAAACAGTGAAACGAAAAAGGTCGTCAAACGAATCGCCGAACTTCTGGTTCGAAGAGGCGACGCTCACAAGCAAACGACAGGATGTGAAAAAAAAAAAAAAACTAGTAAAAGCACATAGTTGGCTCACTGCCAGCATGCTGCCAGCGCAAAATCCTTTCAGCAGGAGAGTGAGTCTGCAAGCAGCTCGCCGGCTGCCAGAGAGGGAATAACGAACCTTTATGCAACAGGCAGACAGCGCTTTGAAGCTGTCTGAGAACTGCCAGAGAAAAACTAATGCCTTGGGCAGCCCGCTTGCTGCCATCTGGCAGCTCGAGCTAATAATTGAATAGGCTCACAAGTTTTGACCCATAATCGTACATCACGAGGAAACAATCCATGAAGATAATTGAATTCCGTGTACAGTATCTTTCTTCATTGATATGCTTGCATATATTGTTATTATCTGCAATGAATCCCCCAAATAATTTCCATTAGACAGTACTTTTTGAACAGTAACCACATACCGGCCCTGCCTCGATGATGCGAGGAGGATTCTTCGCAAAGCTAGGGCTGGGCCGGGCCGTGACGCATCATACATCCTGGCCACCCGCTGCACCAGGTCAGGTTCCAGGCGCGGCAACAAGTCGGCTAGTAACCGCAAATGTGTGCCCAGTAGCGACAGGTCACACGACAGGGGAAGCAGCAGGTCCGGGTCCGTCACACACACCGGGAAGTACTCTAGGAGAGTGGTGGCATTGGCAAAAAACGAAACAGGAGATTGTTGGTATCTTCCAGGGACGACATGACATGGTTAATATAACAATATTACCTGAAATTTCACGTTCCAAAACTGCAATATCATTATGAGGAACGTCATACTAGAGGGCTCTGAAAAATTTGACCATCTGGCGTTCTTTAACGTGCACTGACAAAGCACTGTACATGAACGAGCCTCTACCATTTCACCTCCATCAATATGCAACCGCTGTGGCTGGGATTCAACACCACGACCTTCGGGTCAGCTGTCGAGCACCGTACCCACCGCGGTTGACGACCACAACATAAAGGTGCATCCATCACTATGGTAGAACACCTATAAAACTTTGGTCATGACTGCTTATGTTCTTGTCTATGTTTATCACACCGGCTAAAGGATAGATGAAACAGTACTCTTTTGTGCCACTCTTCTAACAAAACTGCTAGTTGGTTAACTTTCTAGTTTCTCAACCTGTGCTAAGCGAATGGAATTGGATGGAAAATGTCAATATTAGTGGTGCACCAAAAAGGTGGACTGAAGTGCGTGTGCTCCTTTCATCTTCCTTGCCAGATGGAACAAACTGTAAGCATTGCCATGGTTACACAAGGGCACACCAGCGCTGCGTGAAGTCGACAGCTCACCGTGTGTGGCCTGCTGCAAAAGGTGTCCGTAACCTCGGCTGGCAAGAGCAGCGCACGTGGTTGGGTCCAAGGCCAGGCTGGGGTCAAAGTGCACCAGCTGCTCCACCATCAGGCGCCGCTGGCCACGCAGCTATTCACATGAAAATGATTGGGCACGAATAAGATTCACAGAAGCATTGAGGCATGTATAGTCATTGATGACAAATGCTGCTAAAGGCAGCACTTTGGTAAAATAATTTGTTTTCAGCAGTACAACTGCTGCCCTATTCAGCCTTAGGTAACTTTCTTGGATGAAACGTTGCCAACCATCAATGACTCACTGTTGATGAAACTATGGCATTTCAATCGTCTGCATGTCCCATCCATCTCAGTTCAAGATGACTGCACATACACTAAACTTTGAGATTCTTATGTCAATCAATCAAACTTGAATTCTTATAAACAAAATGGTACAATGCAAATAATTAAGCCTACACTCATTTTAATATTCCAAACATCGAAACTGTCAATAATATTACAACAGCAGTTTAATAAGGAGGACATCAACGCTTTTCAGTGTTTCTGTCGTACTTGTACGGTGGCAGTTTTCCTTCCCGCAGTGTGTCTGTTGTACCAGTATGTCTTTGACCCTCTGCTTGAAAATCTGCGCGGTAATGATGATCCATGCTCAATGCAAGGCACTGCCACTTTCTAGGACTTCAGAAGTGTTGTAAATGTGCTACCTTCTTGTGGAGATAAGACTGATTTCTAGAGTCAGCATGTCGTGCGCTGATGCTGATGTGTGCTGAGTTCTGAGAAATGCTGACACCACAAGAACTGTTCTTTGTTTTTTTCCCAGCTACACATTTTGTACATTCAAAAAGTGCAATAAAGTAGTTTGATGACCCCAGAAAGATTTTTTTCAAAAAAATTGAACACTTAAAGGGTTAACGCAAACCTAGGGTGCGATTTGCAACTCCAGCAGGTCAAGAAAGTTTCACTGCCTATTCACTTGCATTTCAGTAGCTTGGCTATCATGGATCCCCACACACATTCTAATGGCAATTAAATGCCATGTTAATGCTGTGTTAATGCAACATTGGCGGCTAACGTTCTCCCAGCACTTCTGTGTGTTAGGTAAGAAACCTTTACAGAGCCTACAAGGCAGCAAAGGGCAGTGATGGTATATATGCCATCCGGCTATGTGAATGGAAATCGGTGCCTCAGACAGGTGGGCAAACATTTCAATAGGTGGACCTATCTTTGTCAAAGGCAACAAGTGGCCACTTCTACGGCATCACACTTTCCTAGTCAGAGGCAAGCAATTCGGACTGTGCTAGGAGTGTGCAAACCCTTGAAGCAGGGTTTTCTCTTAAAACTGAGCATTTTACTGACCCGAAACAAGCATTCCAAGGTTTTTGAAATTGTGTTTCAATAGTGTATGTTGACCTTTTTTTTTTTTTTTCAGAATCCTTTTAAAAGGACTCTGAGATACTTTAAAGAGAAACGAGCTTATGACGTCAGATCATAGTTCTTGTGGACGATCCAGTGAAGTACATTGAAAATGAGCACTAAATAGTGCGAATGACTCTGGCTTGCCAAAAACGCACAACAGGTGTCTTGGGTATTTTAAAAGACCTTGCTGGGCAAGCTGATGCGTGTCTATGGTGGGAGTCATTTCGTATACAGTTGGATGTACAGAGGAGGAAGATATGATGTGGACAGAAAGAGCACGAACTATGAACTGGTTTCATTCATTTATGGTATCTTCGACTGAGGTGGTGGCATCGTGACGGTGGAAGAGAAGTTACGTCAAACACCATCTGTGTTTCACGCCCCGCTATGGGCCAAGCGAACGTGTGGAGCACAAGACTCGAACCTATGACAGCAGCGCCGTCTGCAAAAGACGCCCCTCAGTAGACAACAATTTCCAGCGTCCTATTTGTACTGGGAATAAAAGAGCAGAGGAGAGAAAACCGTACAATAAGAGACACTTGCGAGACTCTGCGTGTGCAGTGTGTGCGCGTCTCTACTCCAAGTGGTTGTACTGCAACAGTTCTGTACCAACTCAACGAGGGTTACGGTAATTTCAGCATCATCTTCAGTGTCCAATGAAATCCTGGCACCAAGGTAGACTTGTGCGAATACAGTCGGATGATGTAAGCTCACGCACGTTTTCCGTCCCATCAGGCCGTGTTCTGTGACAGCGCCAGCTGTAAATTACGCCTAAAATGATGGAACGTCACCGCATCGTCTGCCAGCGCGCGTGGGCTGCTGGGATTGCACTACGCTTCACCGTCGATTTCCGTGGTACCGGTGGTGGCGTGCACTCGTGTCGTGGACGACCCAGCCAAGCATGCGGCACCACACGCGTGGTGCCCAGGCGAACGTACGGCCCGCACCAGAACACAGAAAACCCCACTGGTGCCACCAGCCGAAGATGCTATTAGTCGCTACCTAGGTATTGTTCACACGCCCAAAAAAATGGAAAGAGAAGGAAGGGGGACACAAAGAAGAGGGTATCGGTCAAACCTACCTAGCATCAACAAAAACTTTCTGAACAATATTCTGCAGCTCTTTCTGAGCACATTGTTCTTTCCTGTGTTCGTTAGCCTGTATGCACAACGATTTCCAGGATAGACAGGTGTCTTGGGCAATACCTAGAACATCACCAGTGTCTACTGGCTCGTCAAAGCTCCGAGATACAACCATGAGGCCCTGAAAGCAGCGAACTGAGCTTTGCAACAGGTGAAAGTGGCCACTGCATGCATTGCTTGCCTTTCTTGCAGGCATACTGCTATAGTCAAGCTAAGTGACAATCATGACAAGTCCACAGTACAACCATACGCCTCAAAGCCCGTGTACGAGCACACTGACTTCATCCGCTGTGACAGTGGCTTCAATCGCAATCCAGTAGCAGGACTACAAGCCGATTGCAACACACAGACTGCCATTGTGTAGAAAGCAGATCAATCCAATCTGCAGTGCTGCATGTTCCAGAATGCAACATAATAATATTCAAGACACACACGAGCAGTGCATAGACCCTGCCCACATGCAGCAAATGCCACAAAAAATAAATTCCGAAATAAAATAAAGTGTGCAGACATGCTTACAATGTGGCTCCTTGAAAATTTCTATTAATTTTGTCAGAACAACCGCATCAATGTCTGTTTCATGTAGGCTTCTGTGAACTAGTGAATTTCAGGTTCAAAAAGAATTCGAAGAAAATGGTGATTTTTATTGAATAACTTCTAATCGAATGCGAACGGTATATATGACATATAAAAAAAAGGTATGTTTATCATGATTTAACTAACCTGCATAACATTTCTTTTGAATTGAAATAGGGGCTCTTAGCAAATGCCCTTTTTTTTTTTTCAAAGAAAGTCGAAACAACCTTGAGTAGTAGTTTCAATAGGATGCGAGTGATAACCTGTAAGATACTTAACGTTTTAAAATTTATTATACTTGGAGCATATACGCCGTCATAACAAGCTTAATAAAATGAAGAATTGATTTGAGGGTAATGTTCTTCTTTAAAGGGGCCCTGCAACACTTTTACGAGTAGCCATGGAGCGAGTAAACATGCTTGTTGCCTCAGAAATTTACCACCGCAAAGTTTCTAGAATCAGTTCAGTACGAGCGGAATTCCCAAAATTTGTTGCAGGCTGCAATTGCATTCTCTCTTCTCGTCCTGATGAAATAGCTGGAATTTATGCAGAGAAGAATGGCACGGCAAAATAAAATACGTCAAACGCACCTCGTGACCTTGAGCACCTGTTTTTTGTTTTTTTTTCTTCGAATACGCGGCTTTTCAGTGCGATTGCGCACGTACTCGAGGACAAGCGGCGGCCTTCCGCGGCGGCTTCGGTAATGACAAGCGCGTTATGCTCAAAGCAGCCAATGGCTGTGACCAGAGCCGTATATTTTTCTTGGCTGTGACAAGTAACTTCTGAGCTTGTAGTGTCATTTTCCGAGGGAAGAAAGAAATTTTTGGCTTTGAAAATTTATTGTGAATTACAGGCCGCGTGCTGTGCTATAATATTTGCCTCACGTGCTCTCGGTAGCCTTGACTACCAATCAGCAGCGTTTTCTGACCACGTTCAATAAGTGTGGCAGGGCCCCTTTAAGTTTGGAGAGGGGCTTCGCGGCAAAGCAAATTTCCCTTGAGTAAATGCTTTCACGGCTTAGCACTCCTACATTGCAGAGAAACTACCTTTACAGGTGGTTACATGCAGAATAATATACACTTATTTGTTCATTGTAAATATTTCGAAAATATTTGATAATTTAAATTAGAATCAAAGTGAATTCATATACTCAACTATTTGTTCGAATATTTGAAGCATTTGAATATTTGCACAAACATAGTTTTAAGGACTGCTTAGAGTGTTGAACAAAGAAGTGGTACAGGATTATTTCAAGCAGAGAAAACATCAAACATAGTCTTGTAACTTCTCTAGGTTGCATGAGCCATTGTTTGTGCGAAGTAAAACTCAAACTAATTCTAGTACTAACCACAAAAAATGCACTGAAGCCAAAGGTAGTAAACTAGTTTTTTCTTTCGGCCTGAAGCTCCAGCTATGTGATGTACTTGCAGAAAAGTGTTGAAAGCCTCTACTTATCCAAGAGCAAGTGCCCTGCATTTCTTGCAGCAGAGACAGGCACGTTGATTACCTACCTGAGCGCAGTGGTAGAGCAGCTCGTAGAGGCGCTGCTCCGACAGCATCCGCATCACGACAGACGCATCATAGTACAAGTTCTCTCGCAGGAACTCCCTGCATGCGTAAGGACCAGTCAGAATAGCTAGCCTCTGAATAAAAACAGTGAACAGGGCAGGGATGTCATATTTTCATGAAACATTCATTTTTTGCTGTGCATGATTGGCCAAAGGTTGTGTGAACGTCCTGAACAGAGAACATACGCGCAAGTGTCAACTGATTGTGTGTGTCGCAAACAAACGTTAATATAAGTGTGCAAATATCTGAGTTTGATTTTGATTTGATTTGATTTATTCAAGGCAGGAATGTTACAAATTGCCTTTGGGGCAATAACAGGGTTGAATGGAGTGACTAGATCATGCCACCCTGGCAGCAAAGCAGAAGAAAAACACCACCAAGCGTTGTTAGTACAGAATGCAATGGTACACATTGCTCTACATGTGTTCCAAGATTAGACAGAATTATGAGTTGACTGTACAGGAGTATAAACAGAGCTCTTGTTAGAGTGGGGGGGGTAATTTTGCATTAAAATCGAATAATACCCAATTTAATATTTTGATCTGACTTTTAAATAGCTAGTATTCTAAGTAGTGAATAATTCGACAGGATGAATATATAAAACACAAAATGCGCCAATGGTACAACTTGGTGAGGGTGTGATGACTAAAGCTAATGGTAATCTTGTTTCGGTAGGCCTTTCGTGAGAGCTTCCACTAATATTCTCGTTCAAAAATGAAAAGATGTTTATTGTTATGAAGATTATATTGTCACGGGGGTAAGAGAATGGATGAAATAAATATATTTACAAAATATGCAGGGAGAGTCAGAGACAGCTGCAGCCAAGATGGAGGCCCAACAGCAACAACACGAGCACGGTCGCTTTCATCGTCTTCGTCGTCTATGATGCTCTTTCGTTGCCGATGTCGTGTAACATATAACCCCCCGCCGCTGGCAGCGCCGTCTCAGCGTCCTAAAGGAGAGTAGAATCATATGGGGATATGTAGGGCTTCAGGCGGGTCCCGTGGACGACGTCAGTAGCGGGTGCGGACGACGACGATTGACTGTCCAACGGAGCAATCTCGTATGTGACCTCGGTAAGCCGAGGTAAAACCTTGTAAGGCCCCGAGTAGCAAGACAGGAGCTTCGAAGAGAGGCCAACGTGGCGGCATGGTAGTCCAGAGGAGGACCAATGAACCTGGAGAGTAGGAAACTACTCTGTGATGGCTATCGTAGTGGGCCTTCTGAGAGAACTGCGAGCCAAGAAGACGTTCCCGTGCGATTTGGCGGGCCACTTGAGCTTGAGCAGTGGCATCCCGGGCGTAACTCTGTAACCGTTAGCGTAGTTGATGGGAGAAGAGTCTGGAAGGGTAACGCTAGATGGCGGCCGAACAATAAATAGAAGGGGGAGAAGCCAGTGGTGTCGTGGTGTGACGAATTGTACGCGAATGTCACATAAGGCAAAGTACTATCCCGATCAAGATGATCTTTGGAAACGTACATGGAGAGCATTGTGGTCAATGTTCTATTTAGGCACTCGGTAAGACCATTTGTTTGTGGGTGATAGGCCGTAGTGAGCTTGTGATGCGTCGAACATGAGCGAAGGATGTCTTCACTACTTTTAAAAGAAATGAGCAACCACGATCAGTCAGCAGCTGTCGAGGTCGAGGAGCGCCATGGTGAAGAATTACGTCATGAAGCAAGAAGTCCACGACATCAGTGGCACAGCTTGTCGGTAGCGCTCGTGTGATAGCGTATCTTGTGGCGTAATCAGTGGCTACGGCTATCCACTTGTTTCCAGTGAGAGAAGTAGAAAATGGTCCAACGAGATCAAGAACGGCGCGGTAGAAGGGAACGGTGGGTATGTCTATTGGTTGGAGCGGACCAGCTGGTGGCAAGGTGGAATGTTTGAAGTGCTGGCAGGACTCACATGCAGCAACGTATCGGCGCACAGAATGGTAAATGCCTGGCCAGAAGAATCTACGCCACACGCGATTGTACGTGCGCGTGACCCCAAGATGTCACGCAGTTAAGGCGTCGTGAAGCTGTTCAAGTACAGCGGAACGGAGTGTCGCAGGAACTACGAGTAGTAGCTCTGGTCCCCCGGCGCTGGTGTTGCGTCGGTAAAGAATGCCATCGCGTAGAACGAACAAGTGTAGCGACGGGTCTACGTGGGGCAAACGTAGACTCTGCATGATAGACCGAAAGTGGACATCGCTGAGCTGTTCCTTGTGTATGTCAGTGAAAGCCGACATGGCGAAGACACAAGGGTCAGAATCATGTGCTGAAAGGTCAGGTGGGTCCACGGGGTGACGGGATAGACAGTCAGCATCCTGGTGCATTAGGCCAGATTTGTATGCCACATCGAAGCTGTATTCTTGTAGTTTCAAGGCCCAACAGCCAGGTCGTCCAGTTGGATCTTTAAAGGACAACAGCCAGCACAAGGCATGGTGATCTGTAACTATCGAAAAGGTGCGACCAAACAAGTATGGTCGAAATTTTCCGACTGCCCAGAGTAGTGGAAGGCACTCACGCTCTGTAATGGAAAACTTGCTCTACGAAGGAGAAAGGAAGGCGACTGGCATAAGCAATGACGCGATCCTGTCCTCGTTGCCGCTGGGCGAGAACAGCACCAATTCTATGTGCGCTGGCATCGGTACGAACTTCAGTATGGGTTGACGGGTCGAAATGGGCCAAGATGGGTGGGGAAGTAAGTAATGTTGTAAGGGTGCTGAAGGCAGCTGCTTGGTCAGTACCCCAATAAAAAGGCATGTCCTTCTTCAATAGCTTCGTAAGTGGTCGGGCAATGTCAGTAAAATTCTTCATGAATTGTCGAAAGTAAGAACAACGGCCGATAAAACTCCGTACATCTTTTGCGGAACGTGGTATGGGAAAATCTTTGACAACTCGAATTTTGTCAGGATCAGGTTGCACGCCTCGAGCACTGAATGCAGGAACAGCGCAACCTAGAAGTAGTTACTTCGTAACTACGAAAGCGAAAAAACAAGGACAGAAAAGAGCGCTGTCCAGCGCTGAAAAGAGCGCTGGACAGAAAAGAAACCAACCTGCCCAAGCTTCCACCCTTCATAGCTCGAGCACTGACAAGGTGGCCCAGCACAGTGATTTCCCGATGGCCAAAGCGACATTTGGAAGAGTTGAGCTGAAGTCCTGCTGTCCGGAAAACCTCAAGAACAGCCGTTAGGCAGCTAAAGTGGCTTTCGAATGAAGGTGAAAATACGATGACGTCATCGAGATAGCACAGGCACGTGGTCCATTTGTATCCACGCAGGAGAGAGTCCATCATCCTTTCAAATGTATCTGGCGCATTACACAATCCGAATGGCATAACCTTGAATTGAAAAAGTCCATCCGGTGTGATGACTGCGGTTTTCTCACGGTCTCGATGATCGACAGAAATCTGCCAGTATCCTGATCGCAAGTCGATAGATGAAAAGTAGGCAGACCCATGTAGGCAGTCGAGAGCATCGTCGATCCGCGGCAGTGGATACACGTCTTTACGTGTTACTTTGTTTAAGTGACGGTAGTCTACGCAGAAGTGCCAGCTGCCATCCTTCTTCTTGACTAGCACGACCGGCCATGCCCATGGACTGCATGCAGGAAGGTTCGATGACGTCTTTTGTGAGCATTTCTTCAATTTCGTGCTGGATAACTTGTCGCTCAGCATTAGACACGCGATAAGGACGTCGTCGGATCGGGCTGGCGTCTCCAGTGTTACCACATGTCATGGTTCAAGCAAAGACTGTCTGGGAGACTGCTGAAACGCTAGCATCAAAAATTAACCAACACACTGAGTTCAGACCTCTCAGTCAAAAGATTAAAAAATACTTCAATGAACCCTGATCCTAAAGAAAGATAATCTTTCTAAATGCTGGAAAGGGCATAGAGCTGCAGTTTATCTGGATTTCACCGGAACTGCTTTGCAACACCTTCCCCCCCTGCTGCTGCTGCTGAGATGCCCAGTGAATACATATTTTCAACTGCAGAAAAGACTGTAACATCACGACGAAAGAGACTTAAAGCCATGTCTTGTAGAGCAGTTTGTGTTTCCACTTGACAATTTGCAGTCTTTCAGCAGCAGTCACTCACAGTGTTATGTGCTCGATGACATGAAAATATTTACCTTCTTTGTTCTTTCTGTCAGTTTCCAGTACATTTTGTATTCGGTATTCAATTAGATAATCAGAATTCCTGGCTACAGTTAGTATGATGAATGCAGAGTCAGCGTGCTGCTATGTGGCGCAGTGTATGCGGGTGCTGCAAACCAGACAGCGAGTTCCCGCACCGCCATTCTGACCACTTACCGCAACTAAAGATGCGAGGTCGGCTCCGTAGAAGGGTACACAGAAGGGAAAGAAAGGCAACTGAGTTGTTAACGCCATTGACGAGCACAGTGGTGAAAGCCACTCCTCAATTAAGACAAAAGGGGAAAGAGCCAACCGGACAGCGTGTTGCGCAGGATTGAGGTGACTCGCGGCCACCTGGTTTCAAGTTGATTGTTTGGCATTCACATCTGCCCTTTGAGAATGCCTTAAGGACAAGGAAGTAGCTTTTCGAATGCTTGAACGGCTGAGACTGATGTGTGGGGTGTGCATCCACGCTCTGCTCACAATACAGCCTTTGAACCATGTGGCGATCTTGCTCCCAGCTACACGTCACTACTGAGTGTCCCTTGGGTGGTACCACAGTGACATGTGACAGTGATATGGATGTGACAGCGAGGTGCCCACTCACTGTCACATGCACATACAGCTGAACCCCTTTATGAAAGGTATGCTCCGGTAAGCAATTCCTTTTTTTTTTATATGAGATGTCTCTTAGAAGCAGGATACCTTGTATGCAGAGGCACACTGGTGCCTCTTATGCCTGTATTTGTCTCTTATATCAGAGTCCCATATTAAGAAGTTCAACTGTACTGTCAGTTGCCAGGGTTGGACAGCATTCTCACCGCTGTTAGGGCGGCTTCTTCGAAGGGATGTTTAGTTTGCTGGCAGATGAAGCTCGAGCCTGGGAACGGCTACTGGCATATGTCAAGGTC